GCCTTGCTGCTGAGCCAAGGACGGTGGAGCCAATCGTGCATGCTGGGTATTAAATAAATGACTTGTGTCCATGTAGAACGCTGGGATTTGAGCTGGAGACCATTAGGAAAAATAAGCAGTCATGTCTAATTTTGTAACTTTTTACATAGTAAACAAAAACCAAGTTTTATAAATTTCAAATTAATTAAGCTCTCTGATTTTTGGTGGTACCTAGGATTGAACTCAGAACCCTGTGCTTACCAGGCAAGCGCTTATTCTACTGAGCTATCTCCCTGGCCCTTAAGTTCTCTGAAAACACCACTACCAACAGAAAAACTAGACATGTGAGATGATGTAAATGCAAAAGGATACAATGCTTCTAGTACAGGTACATGTAAACTAAAACAGTATAATTCTAGTACTAATGAGGCTATAATAAAGTAATAGACATTCAGACAATGTCACTGCGAACATATTGGTAAAATTTCACATAAAAATTCAAAACAAATCTTATTGAACTAGCAAATCTAATCCAACCATAAATCTATATACAAGAATGTAGCAAAATTTTACAAAACAATTCATGATTAATCATTTTTAAATGAGTCTGATAGATTAACACATACTATTTTTGTGACTTATGTAATACATTAGAGACCCTGTATCATTTTTAATTGATACATTATCATAAGCAACATTCAAATGAACACTATTAAAGTCTATAAAATTACTTGATATCAAATCTGTTATTACAGTTGGTGTGTGCACATAAATTCTCTAAGATATTGTTCAGAAAGAATTATGTCAACGTATACAGTTAAAGCATTGTTAATAATGCAGGTATCAGTAAGTGCCGGTTATTATCAGTCTTTCTATGAGAGGTAATAATATCACTTTACATACTGTTTTTACTTGGAACTTAAGTCATTATTGGGATTAAATACAAATGTTTCAGAGAAATACCAATATTCAGCAGGACCTGCTAGCTCACCCCTCTATATAATTTTCTTTCGTTATTTGACATAAGATCAAGCTACGAAGCTCAGGCTGGCTTTGAACTTGTGATTCTCCTGCCCCAGCCTCACAAGTGGGGGACGGCGAAGGGCACTAAGCCACCCTACTATTTTTTGTTCCTTCACTCAAGAAGTTCGTTATATTGTTAAGACTTCAAATAACAAAAAGTTTTGCTATTTGATTGTAACAGTGTCCTGTGTATAAATTACTCTGCTAACTATTACATACTAATTTGTCATAAGTATACAAGAAATAACTCATATTTTCTTGGTCTTTTGGCTAAGATCAAGTGTAGTATGTGCTCTTAGCAGTCTGATAATTATTTGCAGGAAACAACTGCCAAGAGCCCTAGGATTCAGCCTTGTATGTGGACATACTTACAAAGGATATAAAAAAAATACTTAAACTTTAAGGGCTAAAACATTTTTAAGTGTTCACTTTCAAAATTCTTTATACTCAACCCTAAAAATCTTACCTGCTGCAGACTGAGACACATAAACTTGTGGACTCTGTTGCTGCTGGGCAATAAGGGAAGGCATACAGCTCAACTGTGAAAAATGACTTGCAGAA